CCGCCTCGCCGCTGAGCCGGGCCTCACCCCGCCTCCGAGCTGCTCTCCGCCCCGCCGCTGAGCCGGGCCTCCCCCCGGCTCCGGGCCTCCCCCCGGCTCCGAGCTCCCCTCCGCCCCGGCCCCACGGTTCCCCGCGGCTTCGACCCGCCGCTGCCCGCAGAAGGGCGGCCGGACGCCCCCGGTGCCGTGGCCGCGGGTGTAAGTCAGCAGCTCCAGCCTTATTGCAGCCCGCGGCTGGGGTTTTGTCTCTCCCACCCGGGTGACTGCACCGATGGAAAAGATCCGGAGCGGGCCTGGAGTTTTCTGTAATTCCAGTAAAATTTCAGTTTACTCTGTGATCACAGCAGAGTTTGTGTGGGAAAGCGGGTTCCGTTCTACCAGACGTTATTGCCCTGTGTAGTAAATAGAGGAAGCAGATTTATGATGGGAGTTGGGTGTCCACATCGAGCCAGAGAGAGCTTTGGGCTCCAGCTCTCAAAAGCTGGTAGCAAACCATACAGGAAACACTGGGAGTTAAAATGAAGTGTGAAATTCCTGACCAGATAGAGCCAGTGAACCCGCTGGGTGAAGGGGAGCAGGCGAGGCACTTTCTTAAATTCTTCTGCAAAAGAGCTGTTTCATTGCGGGGGGGGAGGGGGGGGCACTGGAATCTAAAAATGGTGGATGAGACCCTGTCCCTTGCACGTTGCCGTGGGGCTGGTGATTTTTCGGAAGGTTTAGTGTGCTTTGAGGGCACTTTAAAAACTGAGTTCTGATCCTTTCAGCTTTTAGGAAGTTGCTGCTTTGCTCGGAGCACGTGTTGCACGTACTCATTGGAACATCTGCATTGGCAGCTGCCTCTGTTTAAAAAGACAGGCAGCCGACTGCAGCCAGCGCGCACAAAGCAGTACAAACATAGAAACAGGAAAAAAAATATGCTTGCTGGGTTGGCATAGCTGCAGAATGCAAACAGAGCTGTCAAATAGGGACGGTCTGGGTAGAAACAATGATGCATTCATGATTTCTGGTGTGCAATCCCCCCCCTTTCCTTTTAGAATAGAGAGATTTAACTTCATTAAAATGAGAAACTTGTCATTTTTAAAAGTCTAGATTGAGCCACAGATCTCAGTGGGAGGTGTGAAGGTGAGGGGCTGAACACCTCTGCTGTGGCTCCTGGCTTGAAGTGTTGAGGATGCTAAAGATTTATCAGGGGCTTTGTCTGGGCCTGCAAAGTAATGAAGAAATCTAAAGTGAGAATATGTTTGATATTTTTTCCTTCCTTTTTTTTTTTTTCTGTATTTAGTGAAACTGGCAGCTTTGCAAAAGGAAGTTTCCTGAAATGACCATCTTAGGGGAGAACTGGTATTTGCTTGGATCATTGCCTGCAGTGCATCCTTTGAACATGAAGACTATTTTGTTTGCCTGGTAATTATGAGGGAATTCCTGCTTTGGGGAGAGGGAATGGAAACAAAAGTTCTTTGAACATTCTCAAGAATATCCTCAGTGAACAAACAAATAACAATTTGTTATTTGTAACCCTCTTTGGGAGGATACTGTTACGAAGCGTGGAGAATATTACTTAGCTACAGTGTGGCCCTTCTAACATAATTTTTTCTCCTCTAAGATTGTACCTTCTATTTTTTATTTTGAAAATCTGAATCCTGTCATACCTGTGATTTCTGTTAAATTGAAGAGGTGACTTACTGACAGAAACCAGCAGATGGGGGTCTCAGAATTTCACACAGCCAATTTTTTTATGAAATCTGAACTCTGCAATGGGGGAGGCTGCTGTATTATCCCAGTGCTGTTATGGTGGCCTGTTTGTTTCCAGCTGTGTGTGTCATAGCCCCAGTCCAGCTAAGCCATACGTACTGTGTTGTGTTTCTCTTTCATCTCCCTGCACGTGCCATGCCATCGCTCCGCACACATCCTTCCCTTTTTATGCCTCTGCTAAACTACCCTGTGCTGGTCCCTTCTCCCTGACACCTCACCTTCCTCCTGTGCTCCGTGGGCCCAGCCCAGGTGTGGCTGAGGACTGGGTCCCTCTTGCAGTGATGGCTTTAATGCTACACTGCAATGATGCTTCACATCCACTTCACATCTTTTTACAGAACAGTACGTAACATTTATACGGCCTCCGTCACTCCGTGAGTTCTTTGCAGACAAGTAACTCTTATTTTCCACACCTTACAAGAGAGAAAATAAGAAATCTCTTAATGTTGCTTTCAGTAATGGAAGCAAAGTTTGGTTTAATTAGACACAGTGCCTAAGAAAATGGCACTCTTGCTTCTAGGCAGCAGAAATAACATGTCACTCGAGGCCTGACGTGAGGTGTGTGCTCCTCACCCACTGCAGTTTGTAAAGGAAACAGGACCACAGCAGGGTTTGTGTTCACCAAGGAAACGTGTGAGGCGAGATGGCAGGTGGGAAGAGGGTATTGAATAAGGGCTCCCAGTTCCCAGAGCTGTGCATAATCCATTTGGTTTGCTTTTTTTCACACTAAATGACTGTGTCAGCCAGATGCAGCCCAGCACTAACTGAAGCTGGCCAGAAAGCGAGCCCCCTCCTCCTCCACGTTTGTTTAATGCCTGTTTCTTCCCCTACAGCCCCGTTCCCGCGTCCCACGGCTGTGACCGTGACCGTGACCCTGACCCCGCACCCCAGGTAACGTTGCCGTAGCTCCGGGACCCAACCCCGCCGGCTTCGCGTCCCCGCCAAAGGCAAATGGCTGTTCCCCCGCTTGGCACAAGCCCCGGCCCCAGGGCTTCCTGCTCCCTCTCCCGGACCGGCCCCAGCCGCCTTCCCCGCCTCTTGCGGGGGCCGGGGCGGCCCGGGAGGAGGAGCCGCCGCCTCCCCGCTTCCTCCGGCCGTCCCCGCCGGGCGGGTCTGGTGCGTGGCAGAGGCTCCGGAGGTTTCTAGAGTCGCCGTCCGCCGGGTGCCGGTGGGTCTGGGCTCCCGGAGCGGGATCCAGGCGGGAAGTCGGCCCCATGGTGCCCGCGGCGCTGCTGCTGCCCTGGGCGGCGCTGGCGCTGCTGGGCGCGGGGGGCGGCCGTGCCTCCGAGCCCGAAGGTAAGGGGGGGCTGCGCCGGGGCGGAGAGTGGGGACCGGCGGCTCGGGGAGCCGGGGGCCGGGCTGGTGGCCGGGCACATCCGCTGTGGGGGCCACCGCTGTCCCCAGCGCCCCGGGCCAGCTCTGAGCTGAGGCTGGGCTGGGTGTCCTCTGCTCATGCTGCTTGAGAGCCTCGGTTACCAGGACTCCCATCCCTGAGTTGTGCGGGATGAGCCTCGGACACCATTTCATCCCAGTCAAGTACTCGCGGTCCCTTGAGTTTCGTCCCACCCGGGGCAGCCCAGCCTGGCTTTGAACTTCCACAGTTCAAGAATTAGGTACCAGGGAGCATTTGATCCCAGACTGGCCACGCTGTGGCCTGAGACCCAGGATGGTCCCAAAATACCATCAGTCTGTCCCCAATTAAGCAGTTGGTAGATCTGAGGAGTAATTGGTAGAACAGTAGAGGATTAGGGAATGTCAGCCAGGCTGACAAAAGAGGTTCACACACTGTCACTCTGCCAAGAAGTTTGGATAATTATCTCTGTCTTCATTAGAGAAGCGGCAATTAAGAGGAGATTTTATCTTGCTATCTGGAATATTTTCCTTCACAGTATGTGGTTCTGGTATAATTACCTTTACTATATATATTACTTCATAATAATACAGTTAATGTGTGGGAGTGTTGGAAGTTCTTTAGCTATGGTGGCGTAACTAAAGCAAAGTAATTTCAGCATTTAGGATAACTATTAGACAAATATAAGTAAGAAATTAATCTCTCTGTGCTATCCTGCCTTCTTACACACCCCTGATCCTCCAGGTTTTTAGTAAGGTTTCAGAGTGCACTAAAGGTATAAAATTTGTGGCTGGGAAAAGAGAATGAGGTATGTTGGTAGGAAGAAGGATTAACTGCTTTCTGAACCTGTCACTTCTGCCATGACTCGAGGGAAAAATGCCTTACCTTTTCAGTGCCCCTGCTTCCCCAGAGTAACATGAGAATAACCATACCTGCCTTCTCCCTTGTACATTCCTTTAAATCTCTGAAAAAGCTCTAAGCATAGTTATTTATATTTAAATGAACCTTTAAAAAAACTTTCATAAATGTAAATTTAATGCGGAGATTATATTATCCACTATTAAATGGTGCACTGATTTATTTATTTTTTCTATTTGATCCCTATGTTAATGGTATTTTTTGAACACTGTGGGGTACAGTAAGATTTCCCAAAGCACAGCCTAGGGATAAATTCATTCTTTGTCCTAAAATGCAGCTGTGTTTTCCCTGTAGAGTCAGGGCAGAAGTAAATAACTCTAAAGTTTTTTGTTACTAAACTCGTCTTAAGATGTCACTGACTCTTACTCTTTGTAAAAACTCAGAAATCTACCCAATCATTTTACTGTGATGTTACAGAATCCGTTTCATCAAAAATCTCACAGAAATGGTAAATGTTCTCTATTATCATTCTACACATGGAAAACAAGAGGGATGGCACGATTTGGCTCCTTGTTGCATAGCAGTACAGTTCAGCTCCCCTGGTTCCTAGTCCAGTGCTTGCTTCACTAACCACACTGTGTTTATATTTTGCAGCCATACCATTATTAAATGCATTTATACAATTCCTAATTGTCAGTGTGGCCCAAGGAGTCTCTGGGCCCAGGAGGCCCAGCTGCACAGAATAAGCTCCCATTAGTTATGAAAAGTAACGGTGACACAGAAAACAGGGAAGCATAAATCTGCTTTTGGAAGTTTTAAAATGCCTGCATGTGGTACTAAAATTAAAAGGGTTTACTGCTCTGTCTCTGGAAATAGCTATCAGCTGCACCAGTATCCAGCAAAATCTTTAGAAAAGAAAAAGGGGTTAAAGGAGCAGGAGCGGAGGCCGTGTAGCTCAGCACAAGCTGTAGTACCGGGCTGAAGGAATGTCTCTTGGGACAGAAACTTTCGCTGCTGCAGAGATTTCTCAGAACTGAAACAGCTTAATGTCTCTCCGAGTCCTGCCCCCACGGACCAGTAATGAGGAGGGAATCCATAACTGGGAATTCTGCTGGGGAGGACAGTTCTGTCTGTGCTGGCTTTGCCATGTCCCAGTGAGCTCACAGGCTGCGTGGTGAAACCTTTTCTGTCCTAGAAATGGGACACTGCTTCCTGTTCATCCCCTCTATCTCTCACATCTTGTCCAGCAGACTTCTGGCACTCCTATCAAATGACATATAACAGTTTGTTGCTTTCTTGGCGTGGCGGCACGAAAATGAATTAGTGATTTATTTAATGTGAGAGGTTTGAGAATTCAGGTTGAAATAATTGCAAAGCAGTCAGGCTCTTGTCTTTCTTTCCTTCTTTTATCTTTATCATATGCTTTCTCCTCTCCTTTTAGGTGCAAGAATTTGATGTTTGTCTTTACACTCCTCTCTGGCAAACCTACATTTGCCCCCCTCTGCATTGGCACTATGAGCTTCACCTTCTCAGAAACTGTGAGCTCAGAGCTGTATAACAAAGCTGCCATCATTTTCTACATGCCATCATATGGCTACAAACTTGAATGGCTTTAACATGTTCCCTGAGGAGATACATATTTTACTCATTTGTTTGCATCCTCTGACTGGACAGGACACATGGAACTGGAGTGTGCTGGAGGAGCTGGATTAGGAATCTGCTTTGTATGTCTGAAGATCTGCCTTTAAAAGCTGCACAAATGCAGGATTCATATTCTTTTGTCTGTCACTCCCCTCGTCTGTGTGAATGTCTAACAAAATACAGTTAGAGCTGATCTTCCATTTACTGTTCTTAATCTCACCTCTCTCTCTATTCTGATGCAGGTAAAGGATTCTGGGAATTTCCTTGGGAACATCCTCTTTCTTCTTAACTTGGTCTTATTTTTTACTTTTGCTGCCTTTGCCAGGCATATCAAGGACTCCAGGTCCTAGATCCTTCCTCTCTGAGATCAGACAGAGTATCAGTTTGGGTATGCTAAGAAGATGCATCTGGTACATCCATTGAAAAAAAAATCATTGTTCCAGAAGAAGCCTGCTTGAGCCAAGAAAATGTGCTTTCAGTTTTTCCTGGTATTTTCTGATGTTAAAATCGGATGGCCAGGATTCTCATTTAAGCGCTCTTGCCAGAACCTATACAAACTCCTACTTAAGCAAAAGTGTTAAGATGAAGTATAGTGTTTAATTGTTACAATGAAGAAACCAGAGCTTCCACATAAAAATCATATTCCAGTGGTACTGTAGAGAAACTTCTGAAAGAGAGCTTCAGGATTGAGCTTTGTCATAATTTTAAGGGACTGGAAATGAAAAGAAGTTGGGGAGGAAAATGTAAATGAAAATTATGGTGGAATTAAATTCACATTGTGCACATATGAAAAAATCTGGAAGACACCTCAGGAATGCAGTAGAAAATTGGAGCAGCCATGGAGAGGGAATAATAACATTCAGCCTAATTTTGGTCTTCCCTTTGTTCAGTCAATGCTGAGTGACAGAAAAGCAACTCTGTGGGGAACAGGAAGCCAATTGCATTAAATGGATTACTTCCAAATGGGCATTTTGTAGTAGTTCTATTTTTTTATCTTCAAGTTTAATATCCTTCATACTCTGTGGGAGAGAAGAGAATTGTAGCTTTCAATAGCAGGGCAGAAAAACACTTAATACATTATATTTTCTTTTTCTAGCTTGTAACTTGGGTAATAAAGTGGTCTCTTTACAGATTCTCTCATGTTATACCCAGAAGCAAGTTATAATCTCCACTGCAAAGGAACAGTCTTGCTTGTGCCGCAATTAGTTTTGGGTTCTTCAATCAGACACTGAAATTTGAGGGCACTTTGCCACATTGTGTCCCCTGTGATGGTTTCTACAGTAAAGCATTGGCTACGTCATTGCTTTTTAAATCTTTGATGAGTTGGTGCCACGAAAATGCAGGTAGCAAATGAGTAGGATTTGCAGCTGGTTTTCTTCCTGAGGTTGAAGCTCTGTGGCAGTGAGAACACCCATAGAAATTAACATTGTACAGATAGTTGGGGGAAGCGTAAGCAGGCTGCTTTCTGCTCAGCAGGCTGTGGTAGCTCCGCAGCTACACTACCTCTTTCCTGATTTAAAATGAACCTGGGCATCTGTCAGTGTCATATGGAACAGAGGTAACCTGTGTCCTTGAGCAGCAACGACTGTGCAATAGTTGGGACTCGTGGTTCTACTGCTGGATTCCTGATCAAATTAAAGAACGTACCGGGAAAGTCACTTTGACTTGCCTTTGTCAAATCTGTTGAGTACCTTTCAGAGTATTGATCCCTGCCTTGGCTCAGTATCTGACAGCAAAGCCCCTTGGTTAGGTAAGGAACAGCGGGTTGTGAACACAATGCAAGTTGAATGTGTCTCTTGTGCTTTCTCCTGCACACAGGGAACCTCCTGGTTCTTACTGTTGCCACCAAGCAGACTGAAGGATTCCAACGCTTTAGAAGATCAGCCCAATTCTTCAACTACAAAGTCCAGGTGATGGCTGGCAGCCTTGGTGGTGGTTGATCAAAGGGGTTTTTGAAGCGTGGAGTGGGTAAGACTTGGCCAGAAAGTGATTAAGTAAAAGCTCAAGAGGGAATGCACCTTCTCAGCTGGCTGAAAAATAATGTGATTGAGGCATTTCTGCAGTGGTCTCTTATTCCATCCCGAGTGTTGGCTTGAGATGAGATCCATAACTCCTGCTCAGGGGAGTCTCCTGGCACTTTTCCATTGCAGTGCCAAAACGCACAGTACAGAGAGTGCTCCTGTCCCTCTTGCTGAGAGTGCTGTGTTCCTGTGCTCTTACTGTGACTGTCCATCCCAGAGAGTGTACACAGCCAGGCCATCTGCCCCAGTGCTGGTTTTCTGTTGTGATTTGCACTGGGAGGTATCAGGACTAGTAAGGTTGTGGGTTCTGGTCCTTTCCTGTGAGTCCTGCTGGGCAAGTGACCT